ACTAAGGTAGAATTTCTGTTCCCAAATCTTCTTCTCACTCCACTACAAATTAAGCTTTTAGCTGCCATAATATTCCGCAAGCAGTGACTAGGGTTACTTCCTAGGCCTACATCTGAAAAGGAGTCTTTAGGATAGTACCTAGCTTTGTAGACCCGAGACACCAATGAGTCAGTATTAGTAAGAAGTCTTCATGCCTGCTTGCCCAATAGTGCTACATTAAATGCTCTCAGATCTTTAAATCCCAGGCCACTATATTTTTTAGGGATGCATAACTTATCCCAAGCTCTCCAGTGAATTCTACTGTCAGTTCCGGAGCCCCACCAATATCGATTCATGAGTCGCTCAATGGCCGTGCACACAGATATAGGTAATAAAAATGCACTCATTGAGAAGGTAGGCATAGCTTGAGCCACACTTTTCAATAAGATTTCTTTCCCCGCCTCTGATAACAACTTTTTATTCCAAGACCCAATTCTCTCTCTGATTTTGTCCTCAATATAGGCCAAAAACTGCTTTTTTATTTCTCCCAATAAAAGAGGGTAAACGAAGATATTTTCCAAAATTAGGTATCTGGGTTTCCCCCAAGATCTGCGCCACATATGCCCTCTATTCTTCTGCTGTATTTTTGTTGTAGCATATACTAGACTTATGATAATTGACCACTTGTCCATATAGATTTTCATAGAGTGATAAACAATTTTTTTATTTCATTAGCCTCCTGCACAGTAGCTCTAAAAAACAGTAGACTATCAGTATAGGCCCCTTCTTGAGGTCTCAGTATGTTTTACGGTCACTTTTGGCCATCATTTGTAAGATATTTTAATTCATTTGACTAATAAAGTTTATTGTTTAAAAAAAATTTAAAAAAAAAAAAAAAAAAAAGTAAATCGGCCCTGTCAATATTTTTCCTACATTTATTTAATGAAAAATATGTTTGATTAATAAAAGAACTCTGAGTTTAAAAGTCTTCCTACGTAACTACGAAACAGAGAATTGAAAGAGAAAGAACATAAGATCAGAAATATGGTTGTGCAAAGTTAAGTCTACTCAGTTCCCACCACTTTACGCAAGAGCTATCTCAAACTCTGCAGCTACAGGAAATTCTTTCCAAAATTTTTTAAAAGAATTTTTTTTGTTTATTTAATGTTATTACAAGTTTAATTATTTGTTTATTCTAATTAGTTTAATTTAGTTACTATTAATATTAGGATATTTCCGACAACTTTTTGATTTCAACTTAATTTAAGATCACTTTCAGGTGGTCGGAAATTCCATAATTTCTAGTAGTGTTAATTAGACTATGATCTATCCTGGTATATCTATTAATATTTTCTACATATGTTATTTTCACACACAGATTTTTTAGCACAATATTTGTAGTTAATAATATTCATATCTTATTGCGAGTATTATATATCCCTATGAAAAATGCTATTTTAAGTAGGAAATTGAATTTGAATCGGATTTAAGTAGATTCATATTTTTCTTCCAGAAGGCTGAACCCCAACCCTAAGAGCCCAAGTAGATTCATATTCTTTTATGGACAATTGGGGATGAATATGTATTACAAAAATGAATTCGGAAGATTGGAAAAATGGAATATTGAGAAATGAAAGCTGAAAAAAATAAAAATTTGATAAAAATGAAGTAAACTCGCTATTTTCCTGCGTTAGTTTAATTAAAATTATGTTCAATTAAATGATTAATTAAAGAACTCCGAGTTTAAAAGTCCTCATACGTCTTCCTACGTCTGTAACAATTGAAAGTGAAGGACCATAAATCATAAATATGGTTGTGGAAAGTCATGTGCACCCAGTTCCCACCGCTATACGCAAGAGCGTAGCTATTTGAATGCTACATGAAATTCTTTCCATTTTTAATAGGAATTTTTTGTTTATTTCATTTTATTATAAGTTTAATTACTTATCTACCTATTCTTATTAGTTTAATTTAGTTAGTCTGAATTGGTTATTGTGTATTTATTTATTTTTTATTAATATTATGATCTAGAGGATGTATACTAAGTAAATCTTGCCTTAACGGCATAATTAATAAATGATCACAAAAAAGTAAGCCAGTCTAGGTCATCACTCAAACTAAAGAAGGTTAATAAGTCGCTCCTAAGGGGAGTAAACCATAGAAACTTATGGTTATCAAATTAACCAACAACCGACCAAATTGGATGGATTGCCCAATGATTGGTATTAATTAGATCATGATCTTAGTGTATCTATACTATTTTATAAAGAGTAAATACCCAAAATGGTCCCTCGCCTATAGCTAAATTCACAAATTGACCTTCGACTTTCAATTTCAACAAATTAAGTCCTTAACATTGTAATTTTAACACAATCTGGTCCTCTGTCTATTTGACCGTTTGTTGACTGTGATTTTTGAGGATATATATATATATGTAATTTCATGGTCCATCGTCGGTTTTTTAAGGTTCCGGTTGCATTTCCAGACCGCACTGTTACATTTGAATTCACTGTCGAAAGCAATCTACCAAATCCGGTCGCATTTCTTCATCCTCCCTTTGGATTCAATGTAATTGAGTTCAAACCAGAGCGAAGAAGACGACGTGTTTCCGAACTGGTGCAACGTCATCCTGGAGGCCTCCACATGCTCCGACGAGAGCTGAAGGTTCTTCTAGAGATCGTCGATAATGGTCAACAAACGGTCAAATAGATGGAGGACCAAATCGTGTCAAAATTACAAAGTTAAGGACTTAATTGGTTGAAATTGAAAGTCGATGACAAATTTGTGAATTTAGCTATAGTCTAGGGACCATTTTGGGTATTTACTATTTTCTAAATTTGTTATTCTCTTTAATAGATTTTTTAGCACAGCAGTGATAATTCTTTTAAGGTCCATTTGGAAACCTAGAAAATGACTTCCAGAAGCCTCATTTTTTTTTTTTTTTTAAATTTTACTATGTTTGGATATTCAAGAAAAATAATGCTAAAGCAAAATATTCATTATGATCAATGAAAAAAAAAGGTCGAATTTAAAAGAAAATGTGTCCCTAACATAGATTTCTAGTCTGAAAATATTTTTAAGATTATTTACTTTTCAGTATTTATCTTCTCACTCTTTTTCAAACTAATTTCCAAATTATTATTACCATCGCCACCATCGCCGCCACTAGCAACACCATACCGCCACCACCATTACCACAACAACAACCACCACCACGCCACCACCTGCACCACTACCACAACCAACACTAGGCCACCATTTCCACCACAACCACCACTACACAACCACAACCATCACCACCACCACGTCACCACACCACTACCATCATCACCACCACAACCACCACCACCACGAGGTCACCACACCACCACTACTACGTCACCTTACCACTACCACCATCACCACCACACAACCACAACCACCACTACCAACACCACACCACCACCACACAACCCGACCAGAACTACCACTACCACCACCACACCACCACAAACACGTTGCCACCACCAACACCACACAATCACAACAACCACCACCTCTACTACCGCCACTTATTATTATTATTATTATTATTATTATTATTATTATTATTATTAAAACAAATAATATGTCCTTTATATAAAAAAAAATGCAATTTTCTAACTTTCAGCCAAATAGAAAAATACAATTTTCTAACTTTCAGCCAAACATTAAAAAATTAAATTATTTTCTGAAAATAAGTCATTCTCTAAAAATCATTCTCCAGAAAACATTTGTCAGGTTTCCAAGCAAACCCTTAGTTAATAATATTCATATGAATCATATCCGTATGGAAAATGCTAATTTTTTTTTTTGTCTAACTTGAAAGTATTAGCCCTATGGAAAATGCTATTTTTTTAATCTAACTTTTACCTCCTAATAATTAATGTTCACCTCATATCAAAACAATAAATCTTGATATATTTGTTAGTGTTTTAAGTCAAAACCCCAACTTGTAATTAGCTTAATTATTATGACAAAAATAGATAAGTTTTATTGTAGGTGTCTATCAATTGGACTTCACCGACCTATCCGTGATGATCTAGCAGAGCAGTTACTTCATGAGATGAATTTACAAAAAAATCCTTATTATATTTTACACCTCAAATGGTAAGACAATAATCTCTTACATGGGTATTCACTTAAGATTACTGGTCTACCTCTTTACATCAAAGTTGTTATATATAAGGGAGATGATTCAAAAATATCAACGACTCTACGACAAAGAATTCCATATTTGAATCACTGACATTCTCTTCCCATTCTTTACAAGATACGCTCTGATTTATCTCCTTCTCAAGTTATATGAACGAAAGCTTTACGAAGAAGAAACTTGAGAAGAAATCATGGATGCTTAATCTGTGGACATGAAGACCATGCAGCTGTGGGACAGTGTAGAGTGAGTTACTGAATCGGACTGCAACAGAGTGGCTCTTCAAGACGGGACATCTTAGACTTCTGATTGCCAGGATGTCCGACTTCGACGATATACTATAACCTCTACAGTTGGGTACTGACTGTGTGTGGATCACATTGGGTGAGATTGTTCCATCTCTTACCTTTTGTACGATTGGTGTTTGAGATAGTGGATTGGACGCATTGATGGTCGTCCCCAGATGTAGATATTGTTGAATTATCTGTTAGAACTATCAGTTTGGATTTGTTAGATATCAACAATGAACTGTTTGAGTCAGAAAGTTTAGTCAGTCCGTAGAGATTATCAAAATACTCAAAATCACAATATTCACTTTGACTTTTAGTTCTTACCAAGTTACCAACATTGTCTTGATTGAGCAAATTGGATAGTCTTTCTCGCTTGATTTACTTTTTATATATAATTTGCTAGCTATTATAGAATAGAAGAGTTTATCTTAAGCATACCCTTGAGTAGTACATAGTTATGAGTTTCTTTTGTTACAATAAAAAAGTCAATATAGTCATTCCATTTAGTGGAAGTATAATATTTATGTCCTCTATATATATAACAACCTCGATCTCCAACTATACTCATTCTCTCAAGCATTAAACAAATAGTACTTTTGCATCCCACAAATATAATACTTTCCTCCCTCAAAACAGAGAGAGAAAAAAAAAAAAAAGCTTCAAGAAATAATTATGCCTTCAAAAATGTCTTTCCTTGGAGAGCTAACTTGTTGGCACTTCCTCTTACCTTTCTCCATTATCTGCTCCCTTTATTGCCACCCTTCTTTCTCCTTGTCTGCAAACGCTACAGATCAACATGCATTGATATCATTCAAAGATGCTCTAATATCATATCCACTACAACTCACTGCGTCGTGGAATGAGTCCATCCATTTCTGTAAATGGGAGGGGATAACTTGTGGCCGCAAACATCAACGAGTTGTTATAATTAACTTGACGTCGAGCAAACTCCAAGGTCCATTATCACCCGCAATTGGAAACCTAAGTTTTCTTAGGGAAATCTGGCTGGATAACAATGGTTTTACTGGCAAAATCCCCGAAGAGATTGATCGATTATCGCGACTACAAATCTTGCAGCTTAGAAGCAATTCACTTTCTGGTGAAATACCCAAGAACATATCACGGTGTTCGCATCTGAGAGTGATTGATTTGGGGATGAACAATTTAACAGGCAGGCTTCCAGTAGAGCTCCAATCGTTGTCTAAGCTTCAATCCCTATTTGCCGAGCAGAACAAGCTGACAGGAGAGATTCCTACACAGTATGGAAACCTCTCCTCACTAATGGTGGTTCGGATCATTGAAAACAATCTACAAGGAGCGATCCCAAACTCTCTTGGTAGGCTCAAAAACTTAAGGTCTATCGAGCTCTGCACTAACAACCTTTCTGGCACCATTCCTATGTCAATGTCCAATTTGTCAATAGTGGATTTTGACCTTCAACACAATCAACTTGAAGGAGAACTCCCTTTAAACATGAGTGATACAATGAAGTTTTTTAGTGTGGGCAACAATCGCTTTGTTGGTCATATACCACTTTGGCTATCAAATGCTCCGGGACTTCAAGTGATTCAACTTAACAGTAACAATTTTACTGGAGAAGTACCAAATCTTGGAGGCTTAAAGCACTTGCAAAGACTTTTGCTTGGTGGGAACCAGCATCTTGGAAGTGGAAATTCTGGGGATTTGAGGTTCGTGGCATCCATAACCAATTTAACTGGTTTGCAGATTCTAGGACTCGAGAGCTGTAATTTTGGAGGTGATTTTCCACCACATATTGGTAATATCTCAAATCTCACTGTGTTTAGTATTGGAAATAACCACATAACTGGGAAGATCCCTATGGAGATTGGTCAACTCGTCAACTTGAGGCAGTTATGGTTGATGGGTAACCAGTTAAGTGGGATTATTCCAAACACTATAGGAAAGCTTCCAAATTTGTATCATTTGGAACTTGGGTGGAATAAATTGTCTGGGGAAATTCCAACTTCATTGGAAAACATAACCATGTTAAGTACCCTCTCTTTGGCTTCAAACAATCTAGAAGGGCTTATACCTTTTGGTCTAGCCAATTGCAAATTCTTATTTGAAATGGACCTTTATTCAAACAATCTTAGAGGGTACATACCAAAAGAAATTTTTCATCTAGCTTCAGGACTTGTACATGTAGACATCTCCCACAACACTTTAACAGGTCCTCTCCCTTCAGAGATTGGCAACTTAAATATGTTGACCTTTTTTAACCTTTCAAATAATCGCCTTTTTGGTGAAATTCCTCTGAGATTTAGTTCTTTAAAAAGTGTTGAAACCTTAGATCTCTCTTCTAATCACCTCACAGGAAAAATCCCAGACACTCTTGCAAACCTTGGTTCATTAACTTACCTTAATTTGTCTCACAATGATCTAGAGGGGGAGGTCCCACTTCAAGGAGTTTTCACAAAAGAAAATGGTGTTTTCCTTGAAGGCAATAATAAGCTATGTGGGGGTGTTCTTGTGCTACATTTGCCAAAATGTTCCATAAAACAAAAATCCCAAATGTCCTTAGGATTGAAAATAGCAATATCTATTCCATGTGTAGTTTTGGCATTATTAGTGTTGGTGTCTTTCTTCATATGCAATTACTTGCAAAGAGGAAAAAAGAAGGATGCTTCATTGGAGAGCCAAAAAACAATGGATGCCATACCTATGGTGTCTTACAAGAGCCTACACAATGCAACCAAAGGTTTCTCACAAGAAAACTTAATTGGCTCAGGAAAGTTTAGCTCAGTGTACAAAGGCAATCTTGATGAACAATGCAATGTTGTTGCTATAAAGGTGCTCAAACTTCAAGTGAAAGGGGCTTCTAAGAGTTTTATAGCCGAGTGTGATGCATTAAGGCAGATCAGGCATCGAAACCTAGCAAAGGTTATATCGTCATGTTCTGGCACTGATTATAATGGCAATGATTTCAAGGCAATCATTTACAAATACATGGAAGAGGGAAACTTGGAAACTTGGCTCCATGATTGTTCATCAAAAGCAAATGAGCAAAGTAGTGAGCTTACATGTTTGGGCTTGGTGGAAAGAGTAAACATTGGGATTGATATTGCTTGTGCACTCGAGTATCTTCATGATGAGTGCGGAACACCTTTAGTTCATTGCGATCTCAAACCGAGCAATGTTCTTTTGGATACTGACTTGGTTGCTCATGTAAGTGACTTTGGATTAGCAAGGTTTCTTCCGGAGGTTGGGCATGCGAGTTCCGTTGGAATTAAAGGCACTTTTGGATATGTTGCTCCAGGTAACCATTTTTTTGCTAATTTTATAGAGTAAATACCTAATTTAATCCTTGACTATATAGTGATCTTTTTATGCTAAACTGTTACTTTTTGTGCTTAACTAGGTTCTCAATTTTAATAGTTTTACCCAATTGAATCATGTGTTAAAATAGCTAAGCAATTTCACCTCTATTAATATTCAATTTAGTCTTCAACTATACTAGTTAATTTTACTCAAGTTAGTCTTGGACTATAATGGTTTCACTCAATTTATTTCTCAACTATAGTTGTTTTTCTCGATTTAGTCCTAGATTCTAATAGTCGAGGACTGAAATGGTAAAACTATCGAAGTCGAGAACCTAATTAAACACAAAAAGTCGTTCAGGACTAAAACGAGAAAAACCACTATAGTCGATGACTAAATTAATTGGGTATTAACTCTAGTTGTATAAGTAACTTGAAGGTAAATTTCAAGTGTTTTCTCAACAATAGTTGTTTTTCTCGATTTAGTCCTAGATTCTAATAGTCGAGACTGAAATGGTAAAACTATCGAAGTCGAGAACCTAATTAAGCACAAAAAGTCGTTCAGGGCTAAAACGAGAAAAACCACTATAGTCGATGACTAAATTAATTGGGTATTAACTCTAGTTGTATAAGTAACTTGAAGGTAAATTTCAAGTGTTTTCATGAATCTCAACATCTTTGAATTCATATTACTATTTCGAGCGACATACAATTTACTTTAAATATTTGTTACTCTTATGTACTTATTAATGTGCTATGGTCTAAAATTAAACATCTATATCTCTCAGAGTATGGCATGGGAAGTGAATTCTCAACATTTGGCGATATGTATAGCTTTGGAATACTCCTATTGGAAACATTTACAGGAAAAAGTCCCACCGATGAAACTTTCATTAATGGTTTAAATCTACATGAGTATGTTAAAAGTGCCCTACCGGATAGAACCATGGAGATTGCTGATCCAAGACTGCTATACAATGAGGACACTTCAAGCAGAAGCTCTCATATAAGCAAAGATAGAATTCTTGAAATAGTATGTTCAGTTTTGGGGATTGGGATTGCTTGTTCAGTGAAATCGCCAAGAGAAAGGATGGATGCTTGCACCGCAATGAAAGAATTACGATCAATCAAAGCCAGCCTTTTGCGAACAATGCAACATTGAGAGAAAGTTTGTTCACATTTTCTTCTTGCTTAATAAGTTCAAATAGTGTAGCAATATGTTTTCTTTATCATAATTTACGTTGTATTTTTATTGCTTTAGCATTCTCAAGTCCGATGTTTGTGTTTTGTACTATGTATTTCTTTTACTTGTGAATTCTCTATTACTTATTAATATGTTTGTATTTTTGTAGGATGCTAATTACTACTCCATCTGCCTCATTTTATATGTCTTACTTACTATTCATGGGTCAAATCAATTTTTTTTCTTTGTTTATTTTCTTCGTATTTTTTACTTATTTTTAAATTTGACTTTTTTGTGTTTAATAGAGTTAAATCCATTTTTGGTCCTACATTTATTGGGCATTGGACATATTTTATCCGCTTTTATTAATTTTGCCACATTTTATCCAAACTTAATAAAAGTTGGACAATTTTAATCCACCGTCCAAATTGACGTTAAACCTCCGTGAAATAGAAGGGCATTTTTGTCCTTTGCAATGCTATTCTTGATCAGCCTTATTGCTCGCTCTGTTTCTCCTCTACACCTCTCTGTCGTCATCTTCTCTCTCACATGGAAAATTGAAACCAGAAGAGCAGCAAGCGGGTTTCGACCTCCGATTCGAGAATGAGCTTGAAGAGGAAGCTGGAAGAGGTTTTGGAGCACGATTGGTCGAGGATCGTTTCTCTCTCCGTCAAAGAAGCTCACCGAGATCTCGTTGTCGAAGTCCGTACTCAAGTGGAGATTTTGGAAGCATCGTTCTCTTCGACGGAGCAAGATCGAGCTTCCTCCAAGCGAGCTATCCACGTCCTGTCTGAGCTGCCGAAGAACGGTAATTCTAAATACGAATTAGTATTGTTGTTTGCTGGATCGAGTTTACTGGATTTGTGAGTTTTGTGCGTTTGCTGAGGAATTTGTGAATGTTATTGTATAGTGCGGTGCAGTCCCAGCTCTGGTGCAGAATCTTCTGCCGCCGGTTCTGACGGGGGAAATAGACTCCAGTATGATACAGTATGGGGTGGGGGAAGGAGACTTCAGTCTCATACAGTATGAGCATGAGGTTGAGAAGGGGAGTTCCTACAACCATATATGAGTGATCTTTGCAAGTACTCGTAGGTTCATAATTTAATTCTAGCAAAGCATTTTTCATTTGCTTAGTCAATTGAAAATTTAAGCTTAAGAAGTGTAGGAAAGAATCTTTAACTTCAATACCATTTAAAAGAACCTTGTAACTTGGTAAATATGTGAAACGTAAAAGACTCAAAGCTTAGATATACACCCAAAGCTTTTCTTCTTCACGAAAAAATTAAAAAAGGTTAATCTCCTACTTGCCTTTTCTTCCTCACTCATCACCCTTTCATCATCAACTTCTGCCAAACACAATCATCTACCGTTTTTGTCATCTACTAGATCTTCTCTGCTCCGTATAATACACTCTCACTAAACCCAACAGCCATTCTCATTTCCATCTCTTCTAATCCTTTCCTCAAACCCCACTTCTATCATTACCAAAGCCATGTTCTTCAAGCATGTTTTCTTTGCCTTATTCACTTTCCTTTTTGTCACGACAATACCCGCTTTGATGGCCATTCCGGGTTTACCAGATCTGGATGCGGTTCAAACCCAAACATTCTTACCCAACTCATCACCGCCGATCACCATCCCGGAGTAGTCTTCCGACGCCGCCTGCTGTTGGACAATTTTAAATATATTTGTCCTCGCAAGTGCACGAGTCAGTGTAGTAATAAGGTGCAAAAGCAAGGGTCGATCCCACAGGAAATTGTACGATGCAATTTAATAAACTTGAAAATAATTAGAAGGGAATAAACTTGAATTTAACGAAAAGTCGGAATTGCAGACTAATTAAATTGCGCAGAAAACTTAAATAAAATAATATCAAAAACTAAGGAACACAAGGAAATCGAATGCAATTTGATATCTAACAGAAAGATAAAAACAATCCAAAGAACATGAATCCAATAAAATCTTAGGAACATAGATTCAATACCACTATTAGTTCTGCAGTGTAAATCTAATATTGCCAATCATATAAATATCAACCCTCAACATTAATTAAATATAATAAATCTTAGCAGATAAAAGCAATTTAATAAAGCAGATATAATGAAGATTATATTAAAGCAATAAAACAAATATAATAAAGCTTAGCAATCTAAAGTAATTATAATAAAGCAAAAGTAATTAGTATTCAAGTAGCATTACGACTCACAACCTACAACTTGAGTGATTAACAAATTGAATTGTAAAATAGAAGAATTGAGGAACATTCTTGAACTAAAAACTTGAATTACAAATTATTATGCAGCCCACTGCAATTGAAAACAAAAACCTGGAGTGTGCAAAAGATGCCAAATTTAATTGGCTGCTGCGTAGAAGATTTGCTGCCGCCCGGAAGTCTGCTTACCGATCGCACTTCACACAGAGATCGTCTTCTTCGTTTATCGCTTCCGAAAGTGGTCCGGAGTGAAAATTGATGATCCCCTTTCTCGAACACGCATGTATTTATATTGTTTGAACCCAACAATTTTTTCAAGTTCTGCGCTATAGTCGGTTAAAGCTCCGCAAGCAGCCACCATGCCCGAAGGAGATGCTCTTCTTCCGTTCGTTGTTTTGACTGGCCGTTGTTGAAGGAGTCTCAACCAAGAAATAACTATTACTAATTAAATAAAATACATCTTATTAAAAGCTTAAATACTACTAAAACCAATTATTAATATATTATTATTAAATTAGAATCAAAGAATTATTGGACTGACAATTCTCATAACAAAACTAAATTACTAACAAAAACAACCCAAAAATTAAACATATTAATAAAAACTACTTATAACAATAATAAGTAAAATAACTAAAATAAGAAACAAATAATCAATTATTTGCAACTTAACTATAAAAAATTATTTAAAGTAACAACAAAAATAATGTTTATCAAACTTCCCCACACTTATTTATTTGCTTGTCCTCAAGCAAAGACATTATTAAAAGAAAATAAAACCAAAAACGAAATCAAGTATTAGACCGAGCTTTACCCAAATAGCCTTTCAAATTTATTCCCAACAATGCAGGGTTAATGTCAACTCAAAGAATACATAAAACAGTTGACTAGAACTTTTTATCATGCTATAAAAATAAGGAAAGATGTGCAAGTGTGCTAATACCCCCTTATATGAGCTATACAAAAACCTCAATAAAATATGGAACTTTCACAAAATATAACTTAAGTCAAATTCAGAAACATTCTATCACAGTGCAGGTGCAAAACATGAAGGAAATCAGGATCAAGGCATACATTAAAATTGAAATGCAATTGCTCGTCTCTTCCAAAGTTTACTCATTATTTTTCTATTTTGACTTTTTCCAAAGAGAATTTTCCCAAAAACCTCGCCATTTTACGCCAGACTTGTTTGAGTTTTCAATTTTGTATTTACTCATAAACCAGACCACAACACCTATTGATTTATTTATTATACATGTGTATAGGTGGCTGATTCAGCGGAGTAGAATCTCTGAATTATTGTAAATAAATAAATAAATAAAACACTCCCTTTTATTATTTTTTTTTAAAATAATTTTTTTTATTTAATCTTTTTTTTTTTTCACTTTACTTATGCCATAAAGATGATCCTTGAACCAACACACTACACCACAATTTATAGCACTCAAGAATTATTTAAGGATTTGAAAAAGGTAAAATAGAGTGAAAGATGCATATAAACTATTAAAGAAATTGTATAGGACACATAAGGGTATTTGTGATTTTCAAATTCTTTTTTTTTTTTTTTAATTTTTTGTTTTTGACTAAGTAATTCAAAATATAAAAATAAAGAAATTAACAACTAGCAACATGTAATATACACACTAAGAGCTGACAAAAACCTGCATTATTTCTATCACTGATTTTTTTAAAAGTCTCATGAGGGTAAAGCTCAACTAATGTTAGAATTTTAAAATGAAAAGGTGTAAGAAAATATACATAAGAAAATTAAAAAATTTGAAAATTTGAAATTTTTTGTGATTTGTGGGTAAAACCCCTTCCCCACACTTATTTTCAACATTGTCCCCAATGTTGTGAGAGGGAAGAAAAGAAGATAAAGAAAGTCCTCCCTTATTAGATTTTTTATTTGTGCAATTCTCATATGGCCCTGCAGTTTATGAATAAAGTGAATAAAATGCGTTACTATCAATGTCATTTAAAAGATTCTCCTTTCGGAGTTTATTGAACTTCAACTGATTTTTCTGTGCAAGATCCAACCCCTTAACTGCAAAAACTTGGTTAGAGCTATTAGGCAAATACATAGAAGTAAAAATGGGAACCTCAGCAGTTTCATTAAGCACATTTTTGGTCAATTTTCCTACTTGAGCATCAAAAGGGATTGGGGCAATTCTTTTTGTAGCGTTTGAGAAACACAACTTTTGAGCCTATTTGGAAATGGAATCGGGGGCACATAAGGCTCGGGTGGTACATAGGGCTCCACTACCTCAAAATCTTCATTTTGCACAGCTTTAGTGTTTTCAAAGTTTTCATCAATAGGGATTGGGGGCACATAAAGCTTGGGAGGCACATAAGGATTATCATATTTATGCAATTGGGGCTCATCATTTTCAACAACAATATCATCAACCTCATTATGCAAATTTTCAATTATTTCAGTTTGTTTAGAGGTGGTATTATCTATTAACTTGTTTTTAATCATTTCACCACTTCCCATAGCCTTAGCTTCCTCAAGTTGACTAGGTAACTTACCTGGCACATGCCCTTGCAAAGCCGCTTTAGCAATTTTTCCTACTTGTACCTCTAGTTTTCTCAAAGAGGCTTCAAGTTGTTGGAATCGTTGCTCATCTGCTTCGTGCTGCTTATTGCAAACCTGTATATAATTCTGCAGGGTATCTTCCAATGATTCTTCTTTAGGTTGGACTGGAACATTACAAACCTGTATGAAATTTTGTAAAGTATCCTCCAAAGATGGTGGTTCAAGTTGGGATGAGTCAACTAGTTGAAAATCATTTTGGTTATCAACCCAAGAGGGTGGATGAAGTGCATTTATGGTTGTAGTTGTTTCTTGCGGTTCAAAAATTGGATTTTCAAAAAGTAATATTTATTGTGGTTCAAAAATTGGGTTTTCAAAAAGTAATATTTTTGTCTTGTTCCTATCAACATGGTCGTCTAAAGGCAACAGTTTAGGATAGAAAGAACGATGACCCTCCATCAAATAAATAAACAAAATAACAAAAATAAATAAATAAAGAAGTAAATAAAATCAAACAAGTAAATAAATAAATATATAGGATAATCAATAAAGAGTGAAATGGAGAATATTAAACAATTATTAAATACTTCTTTTGTTTTTAAGGTAATATTAAGAAAAGGGGAAAAAACAAACTTTAGTACATCAACTCAAATGCAAATTATTTGGAATTCAGGAAGCGGAAGAATTTAATTGGAAGAAAAAAAATAGCAAACAAAAGTAAGGGAAAAGAAATTAAGATTGGAAAAAGTAGACAACGGGAATAGGGAAAGCAAAAACAAATAGTAAATAGTTTTTAAATGGACTAATGACTTGAATAAATAGCAATATTAAAAAGGTTAATCAAACGACAATAATAATAAAGTGATAGAATTAAAGAATCAAGATGGGAAAAATAAAGAGAATAGTGAAAGTAAAAACAAGTATAAAAAGCAATTTTTAAATGGACGAATGAATTAAATAAAATCCAAGATTAAAAATGAAAGAGAAGACAATAATGAAGGGATAGGAAAAAAAAATCAAGCAATTAAGGGGGAGAAAAAACAGAAAATTAAATTGCAAGTTAAACAATTCCCCGGCAACGGCGCCAAAAATTGTTGGACAATTTTAAATATATTTGTCCTCGCAAGTGCACGAGTCAGTGTAGTAATAAGGTGTAAAAGCAAGGGTCGATCCCACAGGAAATTGTACGATGCAATTTAATAAACTTGAAAATAATTAGAAGGGAATAAACTTGAATTTAACGAGAAGTCGGAATTGCAGACTAATTAAATTGCGCAGAAAACTTAAATAAAATAATATCAAAAACTAAGGAACACAAGGAAATCGAATGCAATTTGATATCTAACAGAAAGATAAAAACAATCCAAAGAACATGAATTCAATAAAATCTTAGGAACATAGATTCAATACCACTATTAGTTCTGCAGTGTAAATCTAATATTGCCAATCATATAAATATCAACCCTCAACATTAATTAAATATAATAAAGCTTAGCAGATAAAAGCAATTTAATAAAGCAGATATAATGAAGATTATATTAAAGCAATAAAACAAATATAATAAAGCTTAGCAATCTAAAGTAATTATAATAAAGCAAAAGTAATTAGTATTCAAGTAGCATTACGACTCACAACCTACAACTTGAGTGATTAACAAATTGAATTGTAAAATAGAAGAATTGAGGAACATTCTTGAACTAAAAACTTGAATTACAAATTATTATGCAGCCCACTGCAATTGAAAACAAAAACCTGGAGTGTGCAAAAGATGCCAAATTTAATTGGCTGCTGCGTAGAAGATTTGCTGCCGCCCGGAAGTCTGCTTACCGATCGCACTTCACACAGAGATCGTCTTCTTCGTTTATCGCCTCCGGAAGTGGTCCGGAGTGAAAATTGATGACCCCCTTCCTCGAACGCGCATGTATTTATATTGTTTGAACCCAACAATTTTCTCAAGTCGGTCAAAGCTCCGCAAGCAGCCACCATGCCCGAAGGAGATGCTCTTCTTCCGTTCGTTGTTTTGACAGGCCGTTGTTGAAGGAGTCTCAACCAAGAAATAACTATTACTAATTAAATAAAATACATCTTATTAAAAGCTTAAATACTACTAAAACCAATTATTAATATATTATTATTAAATTAGAATCAAAGAATTATTGGACTGACAATTCTCATAACAAAACTAAATTACTAACAAAAACAACCCAAAAGTTAAACAATATTAATAAAAACTACTTATAACAATAATAAGTAAAATAACTAAAATAAGAAAAAAATAATCAATTATTTGCAACTTAACTATAAAAAATTATTTAAAGTAACAACAAAAATAATGTTTATCACCTGCACGCTAGACCTCTTGGAGGAGCTGTTCCACGGGATCAAAGTCTGCATGCGGGTCAAATGCTTACCTAGTCAGCTCCACCGGATCATTGCTGCCCAGTGCTGGCGGCATGGCTCTACTCTGCCTATTCCAGAACCGCGCTCCGTCGCCACACGGCCAGTCGGCTAGGATCTCCAAATGCGTTGTTCTTCACGTTTATGGCTGGGTCTACAAATGGTGAAGGTCAACTTAAAAATATGGACTGATGAAGAATAGCACTGGAAAGGACAAAAATGCCCTTCTATTTCACGGAGGCTTAATGTTAAGTGGAACGGTGGACTAAAATTGTCCAACTTTTATTAAGTTTGGACAAAATGGGGCAAAATTAATAAAAGCGGGCAAAATGTGTCTAATGCGCAATAAATGTAGGACCAAAAATGGATTTAACTCTGTTTAATAATATTTTTAGTGTAGTTTCTAACTTTCTAAATATATAAATTTTATATACTAATAATAAAGTTAATATTATGAAAAATTGAATTAAAAATAACTTCAGTCAAACCCCGTTAACCGAACCAGACACATAAAATGGGACGGAGGGAGTAAAACATGTGACCCAGCCTCATACGGATGGGAAATTATTTTGTGGACTGTGGTCCACACAGCTGTGTGGATCACGGTCCAAAACGACGTCATTGAAATTTATGAGTTAGAATAATGTACATTATGAGTTAAAATAATATACTTTATGTGTTAGGATAATGTACAGTATATGTCATAATAATGTACTTTATGTGTTAGAATAATATACATTATGCGTTAGAATAATAAAACTCTTGGGTGCCAAGCACCTTGTGCTCAGATGGCATGTAGTGACCTCACCCATTTAGGATGTCATGAGATCGAGCCTCAGTGGAGGCATTGTTGACTCTGTGTGCTTCATTAGGTTGAGAAAGTATGTTTGAACAATACAATGTAATTGAGTCAGTAGCATTCAATAAAAATAAAACTCCTGGATAAAATGTATGTTGCAGTGGATTGTGTTGGAAAAAAGTTATACGAAACGACGTCGTATTTGGACCATGGTCCACACAACTATATGGACCACGGTCCACGCAATAAACTATTGCATAGGAATAATATTACTATACTACAAGAGAGTAGGCTATCTTTCTAGTGCAAACCATTATTAACATGTGAACTAGTGAAACAATATGGTGCGTTGATGTATTAGATCGTAGGGCACAAAATCACCGGCGCACCACGTAACATGGAGTAGAAACACAGTGTTCTTACGTAACAAAACTTCTCCCTCCCATTACACGGACATTCGAATTAGAGTTTGACATTGCATCTTCCGCTAATGTGTTGCGAGAGTTGCGGTCCAGACGTCTCACCCGTAAGACACCCGTGTGCGAACGACGAATGATGACGACAAGCAACTCCGATGCCGGCGACTTAACAGGTCCGTATGTAATTTTACCCAAGTGCATGGCTAACGGCGCTGGTTTTTTTTTCCCGTAACATCTGTCCCGTATTTGTGCAGATGGCTTAGCGATGATACCAGACACAGAGTCCGAACCCGGCTTTGCGGTGGGTTTAACAACCACCGACCAACAACAATGGACCCCGATCGTGGACGCTTCCATTCAGCCAACGTGGGGGCGTCTATTTAAAACACTCAACGAAGGTATCCAATGCTATATCAACTACGCTAGAATCAGCGGATTTGATGTCCGCCACAATTCCGTGAAGCGCGACCGAGGCGGAGAAATCTACTCGCGCTATTTGGTGTGTAGTCTGCAAGGGGTGAAAGGCGGTGGTAATAAACCTCGTGGTTATGAACAAACACTAGGTGGCAAAGAGCGGTGGGAGCGGTGTCGTCGTCTTTCTAATAGAGTTAACTGCGGCGCGAGGATCGGCTTTACGAAAAAAAGCTCTGGGGAGTTCAAAGTGTCCGTTTTGGTTGAGGAACAGACCCACAAGCTGTGCTCGGAGTCGTCTAAAGTTTTTATGCGAATAAACCGACAACTTGATGTGGTCCAACAAGTTTTTTTAAGTAACTGTGTTAAGGCTAACATCGGTGCTTCAACAGGATTGCGGTTTTGCAAAGAGGCGACCGGATCGTATGCAAATATCGGTGCAACCGACGTTGAATTCCACAATTTTAAACGGGACGTCCAAACATACGTTGATGTAGCTGATGGCGAAATGATTATTGCAACATTCAAGGCGAAGCACGAAGTCTGTAGTGACTTCTTCTTTGAATACGATTTGGATGAAGAAAACCCGGTATCGCGACTATTCTGGGCTGATCCCCTCAGTAGGCGGAAATTTTCTTGCTATGGCGATCATATTTCGTTCGATGCAACCTACGGCGCAAACAGGTATGGTGCTGCAATTTGATTCCCAATCCCCCTTGTTTAAATTGGTATGAGTTGGTATACATGCATACCTTTATACTACTCTATGCACTACACACGGATTATATAAAAAAGAGTATAAGACATGATGCATAGCTTTATACTATTCTTTCCACTGCACACGAATTATATAGAGTATATGTTATCTATTCTCGATGCACTAAATGGAGCTTGATTGCCCATGCCGCACTGATTAGTGGGTAAATAACGTGATCTTGGTCAATTGTGTTGTTTAGAGGTTAACTTTGATATGATGCAATGATAAGGCAATGATGAAACTTTCTATATGTGCATGCACGTTTAGTTGTTTTTTTGTTTTTTTTTTTTTTTTTTGGATGGAAATTTCACAGCTATTAGTACTGTACACATGATATTTTTGTGTTCTGTTTTTTGGGCACGTCACGCATCCCTACTTATTGTGCAGGTATAGTATGGTGTTCGTGTCGTTCACTGGTGTGGACAACCATAAACGATGCATCACTTTCAGGGCCGATTTGCTGACTAAGGAAGATGCTGACTTATACAGCTGGTTGTTGGAGAAATTTATAAGTGCATGAGCAAAAAGCCATTGTGCGTTGTGACCGACCAAGACCCCGCTATGCGAATTGCTATCGATCGAGTATTACCAGAGTGCCGTCATTGCTACTGTATGTGGCACATCATGACAAAGGTTAATGAAAAGCTCGGTAGTGAATTAGCTAAGGACAATGTGTTTCGCAAGAAACTAAATGCTATCGTCTGGAACGAGACAATCCACCGTGTGGAGTTTGAGGCCCAATGGCAGCTACTAATGGATGAATACAACCTATCCACCCACCGGTGGTTTAGCAAAATGTATGCGGAACGGGAGAGTTGGATCCCAGCTTTTTTTTCAGATTTGCCCATGAGTGGGTTGTTACGTACCACATCACGGTCAGAAGCAGAGAATGGCATATACGGTAAATTCACACGCCCGCATTCTAGTTTGGTAGAGTTCTTCATGCAATTCGAGAGCGTGTTGGGAACGCAGCGCTATCGCCAAGATAAATTGAACGCAGAGTTTGAGGGATACATGCCAGAGTTTAAAACACCTTTAGCACTTGAGCGACATATTGCACAGGTGTACATGATCACTATTTTTTATGAGTTACGAAAAGAAATAGAAGCTGCTTGTTTTTATTGTTCTGTGGTCGGTGTACGACAAGATGGGGGGGGCACTTATTACGACATTGATAGTGAGTGCAACATTATTTCGACCGTGCACTACAAGGTAGGTGGTCTTGGAACGTCATGTAGCTGCAACTTGTTCCGAAGAATGCGCCTGGTCTGTCGACATATGTTTGTGGTTTTCCGGGGTGCTCAGTTGGAACAATTACCGTCCGAATACATTGTGAGCCGTTAGTGCAAACACCTAAACTGTGGTGTATGTAGGGGCATCCCGTCTGATGGTAATAGACCCACACCCGCAGCAACCAAACTATGGGCTGAGATAAACACCTGCGTTGGGTTAGTAGGCAATAGCCTAGAATGGCAAACACGGATGGTGTCGGTACTTCAGGGTCTTACCGCAGAATTTGGTAGTGATGGTATATCTGTGAACCCGATTAAGGGTAACTGTGCTGCGATCCAGGCATTGTGCGGCGTGGAGCCACCACAATCCATAACAATCCAAGCCCCTGCCCAAGTGAAAAACAAAGGCACCGGGAAACGCATTAAAAGTAGTAGGGAGTTAGCCATCAAGAAAAATGTCAAACCCGGCCGAAAGTGCGGGATTTGTGGCAAATACGCCCGCCATAACACTCGTAATTGCCCCTCAAAGTAGCTTGATGGCAAATTTGGAGTCTGTTTACACTGTTTGTTTTTTTTTTTCCGTTTTACTTTAGGTACAATTTACTGCACTGTTCCATGGATTACATTTACTAGAGCGTGCACAGGTGGCATTATGCAACGCCACACGGTTCTTTATGTAATTCGTTTACTCCATTTAAATAGCATTGGTATTTTAAACCCCTTTTAGTTTTGGTTCAATTTCCTACACTGTTGTTAAGATTTTGCATGTATTAAATATTAGAGAGTACAACTGACTACCCTCGTTGCATTTTACCCCCGGCCAATCATTAGAATACCATTAGTGTAATGCATGCATTGGTAACAGTTTCACTTGTGAGCTTGTGTAGTCCCTAATGCAATTATACTAGTGCATAACGGTATTTTTGGATTGAATGTCCTCTAAATACTAATATAACGAACTATGCTTTCTGGTTTTAATTACTGTTGCCATCCCAATACTTCCCGATTCCTACACTAACAGCGCGGGGTTCATGTGCTGATTGTTTTCATTTTTTTTTTGTTTTTTACAACAAATATTAGTGACTCTACGCTATCATTTGAATTTAAAAGTTGTGCACTGCCTTTGGTTGCTAATGGTATGGCTGTAATGCATATTGCCAATGGTAAGACTATAATGCATATCAAGGTTTGGTGGTACACCTATGGTTTTTTAGTGGTGCACTACCATTGGTTTATGTCCAGTTCAATATAACTAAGAGCAACAAGGCATTGATAAACAGTGCAAAAAGAACATTATTTATCAAAATTCAATCAAAAATTATTGACCACCCCCTGCATTGCCCAACTGTACTACTAGAATAAGTATTCAACATCCATCAACAACTAAGATAATTTAACCAAAACAACCAAATATACCCGCCTGAGCTACCCCGTACCTGCTGAACCCAAAAAAGAAAAACTCCCCCAGATTGGAGGTCTAACTACTAGCAAAATGTATTTACTTCCGCCCCCCGTAACGATCACCGATGCATCTCTGCCAATCTTTTACCTTCAAACCCCGAAACGCGCGCTGCAATGCTGTTTGTATGGGTGTTAACCACGCTAAGCAGGATATTATGCATGTAGCGCTTGCATAAGTTTAGCAGTTGCATGGCATTCCCCCGCTGCAGGCCAGAATCCCAACTCGCACACCCCTGCCCAGCGTATGACTCCATGTGCCGCATCGTGAAGACCCCAGAATCCGACGTTGATGTGGTATCCCTCCACGCCATCTGCATCTTCTTCGGTTTCATCACTTGTAGGCGTGCACTGCGAAGCCCTTGCAGCTTGGAGTCCAGGTACGCACCTAGGCACATGATCTGCACCACACTGATTATTAATAACGATGACAGTAATTTAAGGTAAGGAGAGCATAAACCATCCCTTTAATATGTAATTAGGCCCATAGTTAGACACATAACTACTTACATTGGAGTACAAAAAATTGGAAATGTTACTATAAACTGCTGTCCCAAAATGTTGAAATAAATAAACAGAATATGTGTGTCTTTATTTACAAGAGGAAAGGGTAGTTCATTAGATGCTCTTTGCATTTATGTTGATGATATCATGGTAGCAAGTGGTGATCTTGAACATATTAAATCTATTAAACCACATCTTAATGATTCATTTCGCATTAAGGATTTGGGCCCTTTAAAATATTTCTTGGGTTTAGAGGTTGCATAAAATAAAGATGGAATAAAAATAAATAAGCAGAATATGTTGTTCCTCATTAGCAGTGTTATCAACATTCATCATTCTCTCACTAACATCTCATTCCCACTCCCTTTCTTCCTCAACCCCACAACTAACATTAGCATAACCCTGCCACCCCTACATTTATTAGCATAAACCTGAAGATAAAGGGAATCAAGGGGATGTAATTAGACACATAACTAACATTAACATAACCCTGCCAACCCTGCATTTATATAGTGCTAGTAGTGGCTGTTTTGAGCTAAATTATGGTTGCCTTTACCAGTTCTACTGACCTAAAAGTACAGCTAACACCCATAGACACTGTACCCCCGTTAATGCTTTAAATTTACTACTGCAAGATCAAAAACAACCAAAAAGTGCATAGCATGACAATCTATTAAAGAGATCAAAGCCACATACCAGCTGTTCCGGTGCCTCCCCCCCCCCATACATCTCTTTGTTAGTCTTCTTCGCAGACGAACTGTCAATGATGTCAAATCGGGGATCCTTTAAACTGATAATTTGGAAAATAAACTGCATTGGGATTAAAAAGGAGGATTAATCCATTGAGGTTATGTGTTGTTGCAATTATATTAGCGACTAGGGTACATCACCAAATCCACATCGGCGGTCTGCCCACGACCCATCCTCCCCAACTCCACATCCATGCGCCTTTCAAACCAGGTGATCCTCGCATCTTCGCTGGCTGATGTTGAAACAACGGTCCCACTCTGCATATTACAATTCTAATTAGAAGGGATTAGAGCTCACAATGCACTACAATGTTCACCTAGTCCATAGGCAGGAAATATGGTATACAGAGTATTTTGCTCGTGCGCACACAATACCATACCGTCGTGCTAGTGGGTAGAAATAGTCGGGTCACGCCACCAGTTGTGATCATCTTCTCCCGGGCATTCATGACATATCACCAGGCATCAACAACAGTCCTGGACACATTCGACCCCTCCCTTAGGGTTTGGAATTGTGCCCACTTTACAGTCCGCCCAGCATATTGGAACAACACCTCATCGCTACGGGATAAAAACCATAAAGCAGACATAATCAGATTCATAGTTAAAGCCTATCATATTTCCCAATCATAATTAGTATACGACCAAATACCCAAACTCAGATGCATTAAAGCCACTTACCGTCCCCTGGGAGCACCTAAAAACCCACATCCAGAGAACATAAACGTGTGGCAACAAAGTAGTTGGGTAACCAAACATGGTGCTGAAGTAAATTCACGACGACTGGCCCTGTTGAACAAGTGGCTCCTGCACTTGGTGCTTTGGCCCAGCCACTGCCCCTGGAGCTGTGCACTCTACCGTAGGATGAGATGCAACACTTGCGGTGATAGGTTCCTGCAATTGTTGGTCCAAGATTTAGCCTCTAAAAATTTCAGTAGCAGAGCCATATGCATTAGTATACCTGTGGAGGTGGTGCAGTGGAGTTCGGCTGTTGGCCCGTGTTGTTCATCTGGTTGCGTGTTGCAAATTCTTGTGTCAACCCCAAGCTAAAACATGGCACATCGGACACACCATACGTCCCAGTTGCAGCCAACTCGGCCTGCTCCAACTCCCTTATAAAGTCTGTGTCATAGAATATAGGTCCTTCATCACGACAAGGCGACGGGGCGGGTGGCTCAGGAGCTGCCTCGGTTGCCTTGGATGACATCTTTACAATACCCCCCAACTATTCAATTGAGTCCACCAGCCTCTGGAAATTGCAATCCTCTTGCTCTTCATTCGGGTGCTTGGAAACCAAGTCGACAACACGTGTGGTCAGCGAAAGCAACTCAGCAGTGATTACTGCACACTCATGGCTAAACCCCTGCACAACAACGAATGTTAACTCTGGCAATGCTCATTCAATAAAAGGAAAGGAAATTTTATGAGTTTTCTGGTGTTAGTGCTCCAGTTTATGGCCTTGCACCCCTCAATCCGAGCTTTAAAAAAGTGTTAGTGCATGGCCTTGGATGAAGCAAACTATTAACAGTTAGATAATTAAAAGTAGACCACTTGAAGAGCATCTAATTGAAGAGCATACCACGTTCTCAGCGCGAGCATGCCCGTGGGGTGGTCCCCCCTCGGCCTCTGGTAACGATGCACCGGAATTGAATGCACACAGAGATACATCTACCACACCATTGCCAAATCCCCCAGCATCAAGCTCACTCTGCACGCGTGCCTTGATGAAATTCGTGGTCCACCCCTCCACCAACGGGATCGCCCTTGGGACCTCCCGCACCCCCACCACAACCCTATCCAAATACAAGAGCTGTAACAGAGACATACACACATTATTAGGTAAGATAAAACACACAGATGGTACGAGGCCAAAACCAATATGCATTTACAGCTAGAAATAGGAGTGGGCCAGTGAATTTACGAGAGGAAGCCTAGGTCCAACTCCGATGGGTAGTAACCAACGAGTGGATCAAGTACCCACACCAGTCGAGGTCCTTAATCGTATCCACACTACTCAAGATGTGCACAGTTTTCTGGTTTGCATATCCATTGGGTGTGCTCGCAACGAGGGTGGTCATAACTACAACACTAAAATGTATTTTGAACTACGGACCACCATCACTCAATTCCCGCAAGCGCGCACATAACGCCCTAACTGTAACCCTCCCCCTCCGTTGCTTCACCACGTCCCTCCAGTCTCGCAACTCCGGGCTAACCACCTGGCTATCCCATTCAGAGATCGGTATTGGCCCACACGGCAAGCCAAAGACGGCGGCGACATCCTCCTTGGTGACTGGAATGTACCGACCATTCCCCAGGTCAATCCGCATCTTAGTCGAGTCAAAATGGGTGACCAACCAATGCCCCAGCAACGCACCAAGGCCAATTGCTATAACATCCTCCCTTTGCACCGGGGTTAGGGCTCCCACAAGGTTTGCAAGGTCCTTCCGCGTCCCCCGTGTGTTGATTTGACCTGCAATGGAACGCTGCACACGCGGTGCCTCCATCTCCACATCCTCATCCAACACCAGCGGCGGAGTCTGGAAAACGTCATCCTCCCCACTTTCACCTTCACTTAGGTGGACTGGGTGCTGGTCATTATAGCCTGTACACAACAATGAGAACCCGTGAGCACCACAAGAGACTATATCCAAACAGTCAGACACACATGCATGACTGGAAACAGACTAGCAAATAAAATGCAGAGCTTTATACGATTCTATGCAATGCACACGGATTGGTATAAAATCACATCCATTTAGTCTAGGTCCTGTCAATTATATAGAGTATGTTAGTGGTGCTGATATGCCTTACTCAGATTTTGAATGCAGTACACTAATTATCATAAACTACTATTTACTTAATAGTAAACTTTTCAATTTTTAATCCAGAATATATAAAATAGAGTATAAGACAAAATTTAATGTATTCTAGATACATTTTTTGGAGCTTAATCGCCCATATAATACATAAAAAAAAATATATGCAATTAATCTCTAGTAAATGTAAATTTATAATAAAAATGCAATTAATCTTAATGTATTCAATTAAGCTCATAAAAATGTACTAAGAATACATTTAAAAAAAAAAACAATTACACTCCAGTAAATGAAAATATATTAGAGAAGTGCAAACCTAATACAGAATTATTACACCACTGTTTTACTATACACTATGATTCAAATTGAAAACAGTAGGACTCATTTCCAGAATACCACACAAACTACCACCCAAATCTAAAGACAACAAAGAATCATATGCATGATTGTAAGGCAGTTTAGCATGTGTCAAGGCATACACTCCACCCTAGCTAATGAAGAAGGAAATATTATATATATCACTGTAAGACAAATTTTATTCAGGGTTATACGACTGAATCTGATGCACGAACAGAATTTTAAGCTAAATAAATTAGGTCCAGACTACTACGATTATATACCAAGAAAAGCCTGTGAGAGTACTACAAGATTTAAACAACGAATCACCATGTAATGCAAATGCACACTGCAATTGATGCCAAAATTGCAAATTTCTGCACACCCCAACCAGATTATTACACCAGACCACACACCCCCCAAAATACCGTATAAACCTCCCAATTTGAAAAATCAAAAAGGACTCACCTTTCTGCCCCAATCGCCACGCCACCTCCTCCGTGCCGCCACCCTGGACGCTACCCCTGATGCCACCCAGATGAACCAACCGTGATGACCGCCGTTCGAACGGGAGCTGGTAGTCCAGCGACGGGTCCGCTATTTGAATGATCGCGAGGTTGACGGAGAAGCCAAAAGTGGCAACTGATGGCCGGACCTTCCACGCTTCGACCGGCGACTCCAACCACTAGACCGGGCCATGCAACCTGTTCCGAACGCCTGAACGCTAGAATTGAAGCGAGGTTCAGATGTGAGCTCGAAAGAAGCCGCGGGTTGAGAAAAGGTCTGAGCGGAAGAGTAGAAGAGGAATTAGAACACCCATCTACACAGGCTTCGATCCAGTACGAGGCTGCACATAATGGGACGTGCACCCTCATTAGCGTGCGTTGATCATAACAAGATGAATGGATGGTAGCGGTGTACAAGTTCACATGTAATCCAAAGTTCACACCTGAACAGCACTCTATATATACATATATATATATATATATATATATATATATATATATATATATATATATATATATATATATATACACACATATATATATATGTATATATATATATACACATATATATATATATATATATATACACATATATACATATATATATATATATACATATATATATATATATATATATATATATATATATATATATATATATATATATGTATATATGTATATATATATATATGTATATATACATATATATGTATATATATATATATATATATATATATATATATGTATATATATATATATATATGTATATATGTGTATATATATATATATATATATATATATATATATGTATATATATATATATATATATATATATATATATATATGTGTGTGTGTGTGTGTGTGTGTGTGTGTGTGTGTGTGTGTGTGTGTGTGTGTATTCAAATGAGGACAAGTATATTATAGAGGACTGTGACGATAGATGTAGTGTGTGCCAGTAGCCGGTATGTTGTGTGCATGGCCAATGTAGTCGTGTGCCACAGTTTGTATGTCGCCTGTCAGATTTGTTAATCTATAGAGCCTGAGTTCGAAACCTGATGTGTACATTTATTCTTGTGTGCCATTATGTATTGAGTTGTGTGCCTGGTATTAATTTGTTGTGTGCCCATTATTTGTCCTCACAATCCTCTATATATTGTTGTCCTCATTAGAACTCAACCCTATATATATATATATATATATATATATATATATATATATATATATATATATATATATATATATATATATATATATATATATATATATATATTGAGAATATTATGGAAAATTTAATGAGTTGATGTCATTTTATCGAGATGTGCATAACTTATGGTGGTAATGTTTTACGTGTTGAGAGCTTATTATTTTTTACAACGGTTTTGTAACACCCCGTGTTACGACCCCTAAACCAAACTAATTAATTAATTACTTACCCTAAAAAGGGAATTAAAATCCATTAATTAGCTAAAAAGGGGTCCAACATAGTCCATGGACCCTTATCCCTAAAACCAACTCCTTAGTCCTATAAGGAATAGAATTGGCAAGACCATACCATTTAGACCCTAATTAGGACTCTTAGATATATAAATAGGGGCATAGGAGGCACCTAGAACCCACACCACAATAACTTTCACCACACAAGAATTTCCAAGAATTCCCATAGGAAAAATCAAGAAAGAAGAAATCTTAAAGAAAGACCCTTCATAGCCAAGGAATTTAATTAAGGCTAAGATGTAACCCATGTCTCAACAAAACCTATTTTCCTTGTTATAATCTCCTTCTTTGGCTCCTTCTATATGCTTGTGTCTTGATGAAATCCTTTATGATAATTGTTATATAATCTTGATGATTGATGGGATGATTTTATGTGTGATCTTGATGATATTGATGATGATAAGAGGTTCTTGATGTTTGTGTGATGATCCTTGATAAATCTTGATGTTTCTTGATGTTAAAGATAAACTATGACTTTGATGATTTGAATGGGATTAGAGCCCTAGGTTGAATTGGGAATTTGTATTGTGATGTTCTTGATATATATTTGGGGGGAATTCGCATGTTCGGGTGTTGTTTATGTTTAGAAGTCATGATAGGATGTGTTTTATGTGATTCTTGCTTTTGATCCATTAATTGTCTACGTGGTGTCGTTATTTGCGTTTAAAAGTGTCTAAGCATGGTTTCGGGTTCCACGGAGGATCCTGGGACGTTTATTTTGATAAAGAGTCAGTGGGGGGTAGGTGGGGATAGGGGGACCCGCCACCCACCCGCTGCCCAAAGAAGACGCCGGCGGCAGCGGGCAGCCGGCGGGCAGGCAACTGCCCGCCGGGCACCCGCTGCCCGGAGGAGTATCGCCGGCGGGTGGGCCTCCACCCACCGGCTACCCGCTGGTCG